AAACCACTCAATATGATTAGTCGTAGGGATAAACAAATCAAACTATAGTGAGATATTAGTTCCCCATTCAGAGTAGCTAATAGTAAAACAAAACAGAAAAAATGCTTGTGGGGGTGGGGTGAAGGAAAAAAAAAAACATTTTCACACAGCCATTATGGCGATCATAACAGCCTTTCAAAAAGCCAAAAAACAGAATGGCCATTTGATCTAACTATCCCTCTTCTGAGTATCTATCCAATAATGAAATCAGCATGCCAAAGAAACACCTGCGTGCCAGTATTGACTGCATCGGCATTCATAACAGCTAAACACGCGATCAACCTCTGTGCCCATCAGTAGACAAGCAGACAAAGAAAATGAGGTGTAGGTATGCAATGGGATGTTGTTCAGCTATAGAAGAAAGGAAACCCTGCCATTTGCAGCATGGATCACTCTGGCTAGGGAAGAAATGTTGCTGCTCCAGTCTGTGCAAGAAAAGCCTGGCCCAGTCCCCATCCTGAATGAATCCAAAATCTAGTATTTATTCTTTTTAATGTGCATTGGCATTTTGCATGCAGGAGGGTGTCTAGTATCCTGGAACTGGAGTTACAGACAGTTGTGAGCTGCCATGTGAGTGCTGGGAATTGAACTCAGGTCCTCTGGAAGAACAGCCAGTGCTCTTAACTGCTGAGCCATCTCTCCAAACCTAAAATCTAGTATTTTAACAAAAACACAAAAGGGAAATTTTGTGCTCATGGCTGCCCACAGCAGCCCAGGGCTACAGCAAGCTACCTCTCACTTGCTTGGAAAAATGTTTCTTCTTGGGGATCACAGGACTCACGGGGTCACGGAAGGCATCTTCCTATGAACAGACAATACTCTATCAGAGCTCCTAAGCAGAGTGTCTAGAACAGAAGTCCCTCCAGCCAGGTAGGAACAGAATGCCCCCACTTGGTCTTTAAGCAAGTTCCCTGTGGTTCATTTGCATGTTTTGCATATTTTTCACTTCAGGGTAATAAACAATATATGCAAAGTCTCTGGGTGCCATTATTTAGGAAATCTGCCAGGGTGGATTAGGCAGGGATCTGTCTTGGTGTATACCTAATGAGGCAAAAGGAAGTTCTAATGGGATTTCATGGATTCAGATCATAATTGGATTTGGTGGAGGGTGTAATTAAATTTCATTAAGAGCCTAAAACCTCTGCCCTAGAAAATAATGGAAGGGTCAGAAAACCAACCATTTTTCTCAAAGGGAAATGCGAAAAGGCTGCCGAAATTCTAAAGCATATCTGTGCTATGGGACAGCCACCCAACGTGGTGGAATTGGGAGTTTCGTCTTCAAGTAAGTGAACTGAAAACGCTGTGGTTGATAACAGAATTATGAAACTTCTGATAGGGCAGATGCTGGGGAGGGAGTCAGCCTGCCAGCTTGCCGTCGGTCACACCCCAGAGAGACACCCGCAGCATGCTCTCCTGTGTGCCCAGAGTTTCCAAGCTGCATGGTCTCCAGAGGCAATCCCTAGCTAACGACGGTGAAGACGGTGTTGGCTGACAGTGCTGACTGGAGCATCCTTCCCCTGAGAAGGAAGGGACCCACCAAGAAGCCCACAGTTGTGAGGCAGTTGCTTCTCTCTGCATGCATCCTACTTTGATGTTCCTAACTGAAACAGATTAATTTCTGGGAACCAGGGAGCAGAAATCACTTTCCACTCCTAGAAATCAATCAGAGACAAGCAACAGGTGGGGCGCACGTAGTTCTGTTTTTATTGGTTCTTCTTTTATGAATTACGCTTTTGATGCCAAGACTATGACTGTTTCCTTTGTTATAGGTCTCATGAATTTTTCCACTTTTTGTTTTGTTTTGTGCTGAGACAAGTGTTTTGTAGCTCAGGTTAGCCTCTGACTTATTATATAAGCTAAGGATGACCTTGAACCTCTGACCCTCCTGCCTCCATGCCTCTCATGAGCTCTGAGATTACAGATGCACACCACCATGCCCAGTCAATGCCACGCTGGGCGTTAAGTCTAGAGCTTCAGGCATACCAGGCAAGCACTCTGCCGACAAAGCTGCATGCCTAGTCATTTCTTTCCTTCTAAAAGTCTTCCATTTTTATCATTTACATTCATTTAGGTCTTCTTTGATATCTTCTGGGAAAGTATATGATTTCGAACATATAAATCTTATATATGTTTTGCTAGGTTTATATCAAGATATTTCATTTTCCTTTGGAAAACTATAAATGCTAATGTGTCTGTGATTTGAGTTTCCAGCTTGTTCATCCTCTTCTCATTATCATAGAAGCATTTTTTTTTTTTTGGTGGTGGTTACTTTTAAACCCTTGTCATGAAATTCCAGCATCCGATTCTTTTCATTTAGCATCTGCTGATTTTCGAATTTCCTTCATGTTTCCCTAGCTTGTCATGTGACGAGTGAGACTCTTTTTTTGGCTTGCTTGTATCCAGGCTATTTGGATATCAGAATGAACTCCTGTTTCATTCTGAGCTTCCAAAGGTCCCTGCTTAAGTGCGTTCCTCTTTCCATTTATTCCCTCAATGTTGTCCTAACAAGAATGGACCACTAATTTACACCGCCTGGGCTTGGGAACAAGGAGACAGAGTGCCAATTTGTCACATTCTCCACCACCTCATTATGCCTCTTATTGATGCTGGGTGAGGACAGGGACTCAGCTGTCTGTCCTGATTAAGAAGGAGAAAGTCGAGTATTGCTCATATCATTTCACTCTTTTGAGACCAAGCGATGCTGGTGCACAGCTCCCCACCTAAGCACTTTGGGGTTGAGAGGGGTGCAAGTCGTGGTTTGAATCTGCAAATACCACTAAGGGCTTGCTTGCCACGAGATAGGCTTTGGAAGTGATTGGATCATGAAGACTCTGGACTAGTTAATGGATTAGTTCACTGATGCATTCAAAATTTGGTAGGCTATTGGAGATAAAGTTGAACCTAATAGAAGGGAGTGGATCCTGGAAAGTATGTACTTGGGGTCTATATCTTACCCCCTGTTCCTTCTCCCTCACTCTCTGCCTCCCAGTCCCCACAAGGTGAGCAGTTGTGTTCTGTTACATGGTCTCTACCATGATGCTGTGTCTCACAGCCCCAAAACAATGAAGCCAAGAGACTGTGAACTAAAACCTCTGACACTGAGTCAACATAAACCCTTCCTATTTTACAGTCTGCTTCTTGGACATTTTGTCACAGTGATGGAAAGCTTCGAGATGATCATCCTGGCCCTCATTCCCACAGCTGACACTAGAGTGAGCATCATTTTTCATCACCTGATTGGTAGATATAGAGGCTCCATTGATAACAGGCTCCAGTGGTACCACCTGGAGTGAGATCTCGAGCATTCTCTGCTTCCATGGGAAGAATAGAGATTAGCTCCCTGCACGTCACTGGGTAGAGACATGGATGCTACCATTTTATACTACCTACTTCCTTGGGCTATGGGAAACACACATCGGCTCCCTGCCTGAACCCACTGAAATTGTTGGTGGGTGGGGTGGGAAGAGGGTTAGGGTCTCGTTTCCTTGTGCCTAACTGATTCAAAGTGGACATCGTCAAGTTTTTCCACTGTTAGGCCACTGTTTTCCTGGTCCTTCAGCTATGGGAGCATCTTTCGTTTGGAGTGGATTTTGTCCGTGCTTCTTAGAAACCTGGGCAAATAATCGCCTTTTCATGTCTCAAGCCCCAAGGTCCCTAGGCAGCCAGTATCTTCTTTCCCCTTCAGTGACACCCTGCTTGTTTGCTGGGTGTTATCCAGGATGTTGACTTGTTAAGAGAGAGGACCCAGGGAGACGCGGCTATTCCACTGACAGACCATAAGCCCCCAGTACGTATGTGGGAGTGCATTATGTGCATATGTATGTATGTGGGAGTGCATATGTGCATATGTATGTATGTGGGAGTAAATATGTGCATATGTATGTATGTGGGAGTGCATATGTGCATATGTATGTATGTGGAAGTGCATATGTGCACAGGCAGAGGCCTGAGGTTGACGTCAGGTGTCTTTCTTCATTGGTCTCCACCTTCTCTATTGAGGCTGGGTCTTTCACTGAACCCAGAGCGCTCCATTTTGTCTAGTTTAGCGACCCTGCTTGTCCCACGGAGGCCCTATCTCTGCCTCCTGTGTGCTGGGGTTACAGGCGGCTGTCACACCTGCCCAGCTTTTTGTATGGGTTCTGGGGCTCTGAACTTGAGTCTCCATGATTGTGCAGCAAGTATTTTGCTCACCAACTCAACCAGCATCCATTATTCTCTTTTAAAAACACAACCACTATATCCTGTATGCAATTTTATATCATTTTACTTAGCACAAGTTTTAAATTTCTGTTAGAAGCAGAACTGCTTGCAAGCACAATTTTAAAGGTGATATATAATTCCCTGTGGAGTGGTCAGAGTATGATTTACATAATCATTTTGCTGCTGATATTCATTACTCTCATAAATTATGTAGTGGTGAGAATGTATTGTTTGTTTCTTCCATGTTTATGATGATTAGGGTAGAGTCCTGGGGTAGAATCACACATAGTCCCACAGCAACAAGCACACCTTCTTGTACTTTCTCCAATAACGAGACTTCAACATGCTCTGCGACATGAGCTAACTTGAGAAGAGAACAGTGTCCCACTTTGTCCTGATACGTATTCCTGTGTTGACTAGTGAGGCTGACTAACCCAGCCTTCTGTGACTTAGCATCCTGTCTTTCCCTTGTTTTTCTCCAGGGTCTACATACTCTATCGGAATAGCCTTGCTAGTAGAAACATCTGAGTTAGAACATGCCAGCAGTTTTCTGAAACTACAAAGACATATTTCAACATCAAAGATGACCTAGAAGAGAAATAACCCAATCTCCTGTTCAGCTGCCTAACAGGAAAACATCTGCCGATTAAATGGAGATCTCAGATAAAGATAAAACGTACAGAACACTTCAGATTCTTTGGATAACTCTTGGTCTTGAAAACCATGCTGTTTAAAATGAATAAACGTGTCCCGAATCTTACCTGAAGCATGACTACATTATCACCTTCAAAGGTCACAAACACGTCGGTGTCACATTTCAGGCCCGAGATCCGGTTTTCCATCATGTAACCCTGTCGCAGAAGAAGAGGAGAGAAGAAGGGAGAGGAAAAAGAAAAAAAATTTAAAATTTCAATCCCATCATTATATAGAAAGAATAGTTTACTTGAAATTAAAAACAGAACACTGGGAAGATAAAAGAGCCATGTATCTTTTACTCAGAATAATTTTGATCTATCACATTACCTTTGAGGTCATAAGGACTATTTTGAGTATTATCTTTATTGATAGTAAAACATCTACAAATGGTCATTTCATATTTAACCAAAAGATTTCAATTAATTACACCAATATTCTTTCTGTTTTCCAACTCTTCTGAATTCTACTAGTGACTTACACCAATGTGTGCGAGAGAATGATGCACCTCCACCCTAAAATGCTCCTTCCCAAAGCTGACCACTAGACTCTGAGGATTATTGGAAAGCAGGATAAAAGTCTCACACTGACATTCACATCTTAATATTATTAGCTATTCTGCATTGTAAGTTTATTCTTTAATTAGTTTCCTCCTCTTCAACCTCTTCCTCTCCCCTCCCTCCCTGCCCCTCTTCCTCCTCCTCTTCCTCCTTTTCATTTCCCGAAATTCTATTTCAAAGGTAGTAACCCACAATTATCAAGTGCTGCTTGTCTCCTCACATAAAAAACTGGTCCCTCAGGAAAATGTTGGTATGGGTCCAGGAAAACATGAGGGGAGCATGGCTTGTCTCTGGCCTAAGAGATCTCCCCTGCCAAGACCCCTCAATCTCCTTCAGTTCGGTGTTCTCCCCACAGAATTTCTAGACTCTAGCCCCCTGTCCCTCCAGCCTACCTGTCATATCAGAGGTGACCATCCCGTTACTTCTCATAGTATTTACAGTCTGCACATCAGCTCTGAATAGGGAAAGATGGGCTTTTCACCTCTATTAGAATGTTTAAGCCACATGAGAGCCACACGTCCACAGAAGAGTAGTTACATGCCAATAACACACCTGAATCTCAGAGACCCTCAATCCATGGGGGGGGGACCTGCCTCATTTCTGAAAGTGGCTACAGGGGCTCCTAGAAGCCTGGACACCCAGGATCCTGCTGCCCACAGAACTGTGAAAGCCTGCGCACATCAGCCCTGCTCCCCGCAGGAAGAACTACCCTTTACGGCCGGGCACATAGGCCACTCTCTTCCTCAGTGTTACACTGTGAGATGTTGCCACTCACAGTTAACAGAAGCAACATGCTCTTCAGAAGTCTGTTAGAATCCTTAATGACTTTCATGAAAGTAAACAAACGCTATTCGTGGATAAATAAATCAGTAACATTTCCAACCTGGAGAAGTTTTATCTCCCCTACACACACACACACACACACACACACACACACACACACACACACACACGGCTGACCGTCCCACCCTGGGCTGACTCCGTTTCATCAGTTTGATTCCACTACACACAGGATGATCACTGCGGACTCTGCTGAGGTGTCATAGAACTCTGCCTCACTTCACTTCCTTCATCTGTCCTCACACGAAGAGCCCCGTGACATGGACAGCACCCCGATTTACAGATGAAGAGGGACGGTTTGGAGGATGTTCCTGGAGTGTTCTAGAAGTATCTCACATGGTGCGGTATGGAAAGAGATGAACATGAAATAGTTCACCGCCCGAGTGCTGAAGATCAGCGGCTACGCCTGAGAAGTAGAGCTGTTAACAACCTCCAGGACACACAATGCTGAAGAAACAATGTGGGTTGTTTTTTTTCTCCTAAGCATTTTTCTCTGAAAGAGAAGAAATAGGCTCTTCACACTGCCCTGGAAGCCGGGTAACCAATGGAGACTGTAATGAGAGAGGAGCCTGTAGCTAGTTTTCCTGCCTGGCCCACAGTCAGGACAAATTTCTCTCACTGCCAGTCCCGCAGCCGCTCAGACTCAACCGAATAAACACACAGAGACTTATATTGCTTACAAACTGTATGGCCGTGGCAGGCTTCTTGCTATCTAATTCTTCTATCTTAAATTAACCCACTTCTATTAATCTACAAGTTGCCACATGGCTCGTAGCTTACCAGTATCTTAACATCTCCTCATGGTGGCAGCTGGCAGCGTCTCCCTGCCTCAGGCTTCCACTTCCCAGAATTCTTCTCCTTGTCCCGCCTATACTTCCTGCCTGGCTACTGGCCAATCAGTGTTTTATTTATTAACCAATCAGAGCAACACATTTGACATACAGAACATTCCACAGCAGGAGCCATAATCCACTCACACAGACAGCAGCAGTCTCTCAGTGGGCAGGCCACAGTGTCCTGTGAACATGAGAGGGTCCCTCTTCTATCAGGTCTTCAAGTGAGCATCATTTATTTATCTCCTAGCTCAGAGTCCCTTCTTTGAATGTCTCATCTGGTTAGAAAGGGAAATAAAACTGTGTGATGATTGCAGATGTTCTGGGGGCACCTTCGGACGTGAGGAATTTTATATATATATATTCTGGCCAGAAGCCCTCTCAGGGCTTCCAGACAACTGGAAATGAGAGAGCAAAAAGAATACAATGTCCACCACGTGTGAGCTCTGGTCCTTCCTCTCTTCTGGAATCACCAATCCTGTGTACACCACCTAATTTCTTCAGAACAGGGTAGGAAGGCTTGGCCTCACCGAAGACTAAATCCTTAGGACATCTGGGGTGACCTATTTAGAAGCTAGCCATGCCCAGAAAGACCTAACATAAAGCACGTGCGAACTTAAAGACCCACAATGCCCTGAATTTCCTAAAAGGGATTTTGCGGCCATACTGCTGAGTGGCTTAAATTCTAAATTTGAGGTCCAAAATTCTTTGGGAACAAATGATTATAACGGGTTTTGTGGCAGGAGAATGAGAACAGGATGCCTCAAGATTAGCCCATTAAAAATTCCAGTCTGCAGAGGAAGGCTGGAAGCCCTTTCTTATCAGCTTAAGGAATGGAGTAGAACACACATTTAAGAAGTCCAATGCTATGAACAGTAGAGGCAGTGTTCTTAAAGGGGCCATGCTTTGGGGGCTCTTTCCTCAGCTAACTAACCCACTCCCATTCTCAACCTCACTTTTCCTTTCTTAAAAAAAAACTTTTTTTGATTTATGTGTATGAGTGTCATCTGCCTGTGTGTGTCCCACCTGCATGCAGTGTCCACAGAGGCCAGAAGAGGGCATTGGACCCTCTGGAACTAGAGTGAGGGGTAGCTGTGAGTCAACACCATGTGGGTGCTGGAAACCTAATCTGGATCCTCTACAAGAGCTGCAAGTGCCTTTAACTGCTGAGCCGTCTCTCCAGACCCCATTTCTCCTTTCTTGATAGACTGTTCACACGTCAGTTTCACAGAGCCTGGATTCATCCATCGTCCTCTGAAGTTAGGTCTGCGGCTAGGCACTCCTACGCGAGTTCAGGGCTTTCTCAGTGTTTCTCTGACCTCTGTGGCAAAGTTAAAAGCCATGACTTTTTTTTTTTTACTTCCCCTCCTGGCAGCTGCTCAGATTTCCAGCTTGCCTTTACTGGTTGTTGTTGTTTTTCTCAAATTCTAATAAAATTATCCTTGAATTTCCTTGAGTCAATTTTTAAATTCTTTTATTAATGAGACTAAAAACTTAGAAAAAAGAATCTCAGTTTCCCAGTAATTGTTTGTGTGTTTTTTAATTAAAAAGAAAAATTAATTTTTATTAGTTGCTAAAAGCAATAAATAATCCCCATTTAAAAAAAAAAACTAAGGAAAATCAAAAGGAGAAAAGATGAGGAGGTGTGGTGGTACAGACTCTCCCACAACTTAAAGCCATCCTGCAGTATACAGCAAGGCCCTGTCAAAAGAAATAAATGAATGAATAAAGAAAGAAAGGAAAGAAAAGAGGAATGGAAAATAACAATCTACAGTACCAGAGATAAATGAATGCTTGGGAAAGAACAATCCAGAGGCCATGGCTTAGGACGGAAACCTGGGGTCACACAGCTGGAGGGAGGAGAGATATGACGGACCACAGCAGGAACGATCAGAGGAGACCTCCTCAAGTCTTAAAACCCAGCTCCACGGATGTTCCCAGAGGCCATTCCCAAGCATCGCTCTGCGCTATGGGCTGTGTGGTCCAGCATGTCTCACATCTCACCTCTGCTCTGGAGGGATGAGAAAGCCGAAGTTCAGTGAGGTTTACCGCTCGGTTCTGACCAACCTGGCCTTGCCCCTTCCCTGGTGTTTTGGAGTAGGATTCCCTCCGTCCCCTGAGACCTGCAAGGGGATCCCTGCACGTTCTCTGATCAGCTCCTCTGCCACTGTCCCTAGGCTCCTTGTTTAGTCTGTGTCTACTGCACGTGGACTTTGCATTTCTATCGGGGGCCACCAGCCTGTCTCTGTCCCCACAGGTCCCTGCCCTGAGGAACCACCCAGGATGGCTGGTGCTGGGATCTAGACAGCACAGGATGTGCGTCTTCTTCTCCACCTACCACACCCCGTCGACGGCCCAGCCAGCAGCTCCTCCCTGCAGAGAAGAGTGTGTGAGGGGCCTTGGGTGAGGTGTTTCCTCTCCTCCTCATTTCTCGACTCCCTTGTCTGCCCCTTCCTTTCTCACTTTGTATTTGTCTTCTCATTTCTCAACACGTCACAGTTCCCTCACCCCCTTTCTTAATTTCTTCCATCTGCTCACTTTCCACGTATCGCTTCCTTATCTCCTGCTCCAGTTTCTTGTACTTTGTATTCCTCCTTTCTCAATTCTTCCATCTTGCTTCCTTTCTCGTCTGTATTTGTTTCCCTTCTCACACTTCTCACCTCCTTGTCTGGTTTCCTCATATCTATTTCAGATTTCTGACTTATCTGGGTCCCCATTTCTTATTTATCTCACATTCTCAATCTTCCCCTTTCATATTTCTCATTTTTCACTTCCTTTTTCCCATGCCTCACATCTGGGTCCATTTCCACCCCCATATACATCACAGTTCTCACTTCCCCTTTCCCATGCCTCACATCTGGGTCCATTTCCACCCCCATATACATCACAGTTCTCACTTCCCTTTTCCCTTGCCTCACATCTGGC